AAAAAAAAAAAAAAAAAAATATATATATATATATATATATATATATAATTGGAGATTATATGAAAATGATGGAAAAAAACCATGAGAAAAATTACGAAATTCTCATTTGGTACATGCATGTAAACCGAATTGCTAGTAGACAAATCAAATAAACTAGTGAGAGTGTGAAGTAAGTTTTAAAAGAGCTTACTTTAGTTAATATACAGTTGAAGAAACACCCATATACAAAAAAGATATGTATCTAGCAGACAGGAATCACTGTGAGATCTTTTGTTTCTTTAAACCTTTTCTGTTTTCTGACCTAAAGCATAAGTCAACTGCTGGTCAAAAGGAAAAGCCTCAAAGTCAGAAGAAAGTTCTTGTGTTGACAGCTGTATTCAAACACCCGGCAACAAATCTGACTGAGATTTAAATATTAATCCCAAAGCAATTAGGACAATTTGGAGAAATCACATAGCGAACATAATGACTCCAATTCTCTTATTAGTTTAATTACTACTGAGTTTTATTCAAGACAGGGAATACACTTAAATGAAACGACAAATAAAAGAATGACAGAAAAGTGGCTTGGAATGGAAAGAATGGAACAGAGTACTTATATTATGTATTTGTAGGTATTTGTGCATGTGCATTCATGAGAGAGAAATTAAATGGAGTTATTGTACGTGGGCACTGTGAAATCTTATGGAAAATACAATCCTGCTTGAGTTCTCCTGACTTTTGTTCCAACTTGCATCTAAAATGATAGCACAGACACAACAGATCTAGGTTTACCATGACAACGGAAACCCCCAAATTAGTGCATAATGTCCCAGACTGAGGAATTGGGATGACTTAAGACTCTTTCAAAATGCTGCCATCCTAGAGCTCACATGTACCTGCTAGAAATGCTGTCTGCTTTGGCAATCAAAACTAACATTCATCTCCAGACAAAACACGCAGCAATCGCTGCCGAACTGTCACATTACTCTAGTCCTAATGGTGTCCCTGAGTGGCCTAACAGAGCTGGGCTAAAACTCACCTCTTTCAGCTCCGCTGGACATGTTCCAACTGGAGGCGGCCACCACGTTTGGGTCTGAAGGAATCTCTGCCCCTGTAGATACACAGCCAGAACAGAAAGTCAAAGAGAGGCATATTTCAGACTGTGGTGTTATCATGGTACGTACATACGTACGTACAGACAGACAGATAGATAGATAGATTATTTTGTGCAAATGTACATGATCCCTTATTTAATTTAATGCAGTTTTAAGGTTAACTAACAAAACATTATGGATAGTAATCTGATCTAACATTTCTTTAAAATACGTTTTAAGTTCAGTATTCTGGCCTTAATTCACTTTTGTGAGAACTATGATAAAGCATACAGCAAGAATGTGAAATTAAAGAGACGGTCATGTTGCTATTAGCGCTTTGTGTGTGTTCAGGAGTGTGCAGGTAAAACTGCCTCTAATATATGAAGATTACAGACTTGTTACTGTACAAAGGACATTTTATTATAGTGTAGCAGCACAATATGGGCAAGTGTTGACAGGTTCAGAGTTAGTGATGCTCGTCTTAGAATGGCCCCCTTTGAGTCAGACCGGGGATATTTTCATAATTTTACTACAGAACACAATAAACAATGGACTGGGGCAGTAATGGAGTCTGAAAAGAGGTGCAAGGTGCTCCAGGAATGTACGGAATTAGTTCAATTCTCTCCCTTTTTTACGTATACTTAATCAGAGATGGTATAAAATGGAGACAGACTAAATTAATGACTGAAAAGTGAATGGTAGAAATCCCAACACTCAGCATGGTGGTTGTCTGTGAAGACATTTCCAATCAGCTTAATGCAAAAAACCTGATTTAGTCCTTACTCTAGAACGTAGTCTAGTCTAGTCAGCAGATTTTTCAGATTATGTGATTTGAGCTAAAGAATCTAAATCAGGGGTGTCCAATCCTGATCCCGGAGCTCCAACCAGCTCCAACATACTTGCCTGGAAGTTTCTACTGAATCTGAATACCATTATCAGCTGGTTCAGGTCTGTATAATTAGGGTAGGACCTAAACTGCACAGTGGACTTTCAGGAACAGGTTTGAACAGCCCTGATCGAAATATATGATAGCAACTTAGTTAATATGGGTTGTACTTGCCTGACTACACTTATGAAAAAGTCAAATTTATCATACTTTTAAAAAGAGTACTTATTACAGATAATAATAAACTAAAAGAATATACTTCAGTGTGAACAAAACAATTTTGCACATTTAACTGTATGCTAACTGCAATTAAAGGAAAATGTATTACAGTTTAAATGTATATTTAATGCAATTAGTTGAGCTTCAGAGTGTTTTTTTGATCCACGTAAGGACTTAAGTACATATTTACATGTAATTTCATAATTACTTATATTGTCTTTAAAATATGGTTAATACACATTTATAATAATTAGTACATTAAAATACATTAACTTAAATATAATATCAAATAACACTACTTTAGTATGGTTGTCAACAAAACAAGTGTAACTGTTTAAAGCACAACAAAATATTATTAAAACATAATAATTTAAAATGTACTTTAAAGTGTGTTAAGAAATAGTTATAAGTAGTCATAAGTACACTTGAGTGGCTTTTCATTTCATTAATATAACATTATATGCAGTGTATTTAATACACTTGTAAATTAAAAGTATTAAAACAAGTGAACGTTCAATACAATTAAGTGCAATTCTTTTTTCACAAGGGTAGAAAATAACTGCCAATTACCAAGATGGCTGCAAAGTGAAACAACTTGCTGTAATGAACAATGTGATCCCACCTTTCATTAAAAAGTGCCAATTGTCTTACTAGTAAAGTCATAGCTTGGTCTTCCAAACAATTCTTACTAGAATACACTTGTTCATTAGCTCAACATAGCTTCTAGCTTGACAAACCTAAAAAAATACAGCTTTCTTTAGCCTGATTTGAGCTAAACAATTTCAGTCAGATTTAGTCACATTCATGAAGACAGAAGTTGTACTTGCATGACTAGAAAATGGTTTTCCAAGATGGCTGCTGTATAAACTAACTTGCTTTAAAAAGCCATTTGGTCTGACTGACAGCATAATCTCAAGTAAACTCTAAAACAGTGCACATACACTCTTACAACCTTGAAGACAAAGACTACGGTCAACAACGACTACCAAAGCAAACATATGCTCACACTGTGTGTGCATTTGCATCTGTGCATGAGTGCATCTCTATGTAGCGTTCTAGTAATGGATCACACAGACTCCCTGCTGACTGGGCTCACAT